GCAATTTTTTTTGGAGATTGTGAAAGCAACTTAGGGATTTCCTACCTAGGCAAAGAGTCTACTCTGCAAGTCCTGTTCATTTGTGCTGTACATGCACCCTGTCTTCTTTCTGATTGAAAACCAAACCATGGTTTAATTTATCTGTAAACTCTCAAAAAAGAAATGAAGAGTTTTTAAATCTTCTTCATCTCTTTATTTCTAATCTGTTAAAACGTATGTAGTTAAATCTAGTAAGCTTAATTTTGGCAACTACAATTTTAAGTACTGAGGATAAAAATGTACTTAAAAGTGTATGTAATTTTGATCTTTTAAAATTCATATCCATTGGCCTCCATATTGTGTTTTTGAAGTAGAGAAAAGCTATTAGCATCTATAATAAGAAAAGAATTTTAGGATGACCAGAAGAGACAAAGTAGTTTCCTCCATCCATTTTTCCCCTGTCAACAGGAGAAATTATGTTGCAATCATATATTTAACCAGATGAGTATAAATGTTAATGTTTATACTTCTATAGACCCTCTAAATATCATTAAAATTTATGTTCTGTATTTTTAATCATTAAACATTCTTTCCGAACTCTCAACAAATTTAAAGTCAATTTAAATAAATTTTACTCTGGTGATATAAATAAAATCAAAATTTAAGGAAGTGCCGATAGGTCAACATTCTTGAAAGCAATGAACGGTAAAGATAAGTTAATCTATAAATCTTTATAATATATATTCTAAATCAATGAGTAGCATTGCCTTATTGCTCACTTGTCTGAAAATTCAACCTGACTTATTATACTGATATAAATAAGCCATTTGGGATTTGTTTATTTTCTTACATGCAATTACAATAGGGCATTAAATAAATATACCACATGAAATATCCTTAGCCTTAGAAATGTGTCAAAAAAATGTTCTGTAATTGGTAGTACTAGGTGTTCTGTACACTTGAAATGAATTTGTTTTTTGGTTTTTTTTCTTTGTACAGGGTATCGAACCCCAGGTGGCTTTACCACCTTGCCCTTTTTCTAGCCTATCTTATATATATATATATATATATATATATATATATATATATATATTTTTTTTTTTTTTTTTTTTTAATTTGGAGATAGGTTCTTGCTAAGTTGCTTAGGGCCTCACTTTGAACTTGCAGTCCTCCTGCCTCAGCCTCCTGTGTGGCTAGGATTAAGGTGAGCACCACCACACCTGGCTACTTGAAGTGATTCTGAAAATTCCTGAGAATACATAGGCTAGTGTCCACAAAAGGTAGCATCATTATATATTGTTTTACTTTGTTTATAGTAACCTGATTGTTTAGTTATAAAAACTCTCTTGTTGTTTACTTTGTGTGTGTTTACATGCGTGTGTGTGTGTGCAAGTGTGTATGGATCCTAAGTATCAGTGGGCCAAATATTACAGGCATTATCCAAAACATCATAAAGGAATCCATGTTATATAATATGGCAAAGCTTACCATGACATGTTTACTTAGTCACCTGCTAGACATGCCTTAACCTATCAGGTTTACATTGAAGATTTTTGGGTAGATGACTCTTTTACATTCCATTCATAGAAGAAATATTGATATTGATATTGCAATGCTCTTCAACCAGAATTTATTTTTAAAATAAACATAATTATATACCTTAATTACAAATAATTCTCCAGAAATTTTTTCCTAAGATTAACTAATTGTATAAACATGCCACTATTTTTTGAAGTATTCCAGGACTCTAAAATTAAAAGATGCATATTTTTGAAATGCAAAATCCACTTATGAAACTTCCTACTGATATAGAGAATATCACTGCTGACATTTTCCTCCAATGGCTATTTTTCCAATTTGTGACAAAAGCCTCATATTCCAGGTAAAGATCAAGTAATGATAAAGTAACCAAATATATAGAAAGTTAACTCTCTTCTGAAAGTAACTATACTTCAAATACCAAAGTACAGTATTGGAAAAGTAGACTGAAGACTGTTATTCATTTAGGAGTTTGCAAACTACATTCACCAAATCAGGATTTTTGATGAGAAAGGAAATAATATTATCTGTTTCCAAAAATTACAAATAATAATAACCCTTTAGATAATTTACTCTGAGCTATAATTGATTCGTTTAGAATTCTGTATCATTTTCATATGTACCACCGATAATTCAAATACATTTTAATTGTTTGGAACTAGGTTATACTACAAGGTTATTAATGCTGGAAAAAAGTGGTTAACAAAATCCAGCTACTTTCCAATATTTAAAATAAGCACATATTATTTCTAAATATATAAATGTACACATATACAGTCAACATTTTTGTAATTTTTTAGACAATTTATTTCTAAGGAAACAATTAAAGAAAGACTATTGTTTGTGATCATTGCAATAATGTTTAAGATTGTACTGCTGTAAAATATTTAAGTAATCTTTTCTATTAAATATGGTTTGAAATTCCTGTAACCTGTATTTTCTTTTTATGAAATGATATTATCCCGTATAGTCACAGAATAATAGAATTAATATTCAGAAAATAGTTTGATCTAAACAAAGAAGGAGCCCCTTCCCTTTTGTTGTTGTTTTGACTATCAGTTGCAATTATTATTGAGCTGTAAATTTGGTTTGAGAGGCTGCTTACTAATCCACACTCACATATACAAATGTAAGGCTTAATAAATCACAGCTATGAATATTGCATTTTCAGAAATAAACTTATGCATCTTCATAACAGCATTTTGGTTTTTAAGAATTTAGGACTTTTAGAAAAGTTATTTTCTGCAAAATGGCATATAAGTTAAATTCTAATATATTCTATCTATTCTTTGAAAAACTACTTTTGGGGAATTTGTGACATGACTTTTAATTTATACCTTATGTTTATCTCATTTCTAATACTCAAAGTATAGTAGCAATATACTTTCTAAGCCAGTGTCTTGAAAATCCCAAAGAGAAACAAAAAAATAATTTAAATTAAAATGAACACAGTTTTCTTAATATACCACAGAATAACAGTGGATGTTCTGCATGGACAATCACAGGGCTAAACACTTTCTGTGATTTACCCTCTTGCTCTAGAACTTTAAAAATTATTTTCTACAGTTTGGTTATTGGGTCCTTACATCTGTTGAAGGAAGGTGAGCTAGCACATATGAACTGGATGTCCTAACAGACTTTTGCAAGAAATCAGAAAAAAAAAAAATCCATTTACAATAGCCTCAAAAATTATCTGGAAATAAATCTAACCAAGGAGGTGAAAAACTTCTACTGTGACAATTATAGAAGCCTGAAGAAAGAAATTGAAGAGACCTTACAAGATGGGAACATCCATGTTCTTGGATGGACAAAAATTAATATTGTCAAAATGGCCACCAAAAGCACTACACAAGTTCAATGCAATCCCATCAAAATACTTAAGAACTAGAAAAACAATCCTAAAATCATATGGAAAAATAAATGACCCAGAAAAACAAAATAATCCTGAGCAAGAAGAGTGATTCTGTAGGTCTCAGAATACTAAACCTCAATATGCTACAGAGCTATAGTAAAAACAAACAAACAAACAAACTAGACCAGCATTGCATTCACATAAAAATATACATAAAGATCAATGAAATGGAATAGAAAATGCAGAGACAAATTCACATAGATACAGTCATCTTCTACTTGACAAGTTTCCAAAAACATACTTTGGGAAAGGATATCTTTTTTAACAAAAGTTGTTGGGAAAACTAAATATTTAGATCCCTATATCTCATCCTGTCCAAAAGTCATGTCAATGTGGATTCAAAGATCAAGGAATTAGAGAACATAGCAACTGCTAGAAGAAAACACACTCCAACATACTGGCATAGGTACCAACTTCTTTAACAAACTCCTAAAGCTCAAGAAATAAAACTAAGAACCAATAAATGGGGTGGCATCAAATGAAAAAGCTTCTGAACGGCAAAAGGAACAAGAGTGTGCAGAGAATAACTTTCAGGATGGAAGAAGCTCTTTGCCAGCTATTCTTCTGACAGGGAATTAATATCCAAAATATATAAAGAACAAAAAAAAAAAAACCCTTATATCAAAAAGATGCTCTTTTTCTCCTGACCTTATCTTAGAGAAAAACTCCAGACTTCTTGTTAAGTGCAGAATCAATTTGTGTTTGTAAGGTGATGGAAAGGAAGAAGAAACAAATCCCTGCACCACGAAGGGAAGACAGCATTGAGTTATAACTGCTCCCACTGATCAGACACCCTTGTCTCCTTTCTGTGCTTTGTAGTATTTTCTTTAAAGTTTGGTCAGACAGCTCTAGTAGTGGTAATGACTAAAAGAGGCTCAAATGTGGCAGTAGGAGGATGCTTGTCACATTTAAGTGTTCCACTAGAGCTATCAGATGTGGGGTGGGTTTTAAAATTTGTCTACATATAAAATTTGTCTACATATATCATATTCTTTGACTCCTTCCACTATGATGAAATCTAGTCCTAATTTATTAAAGAAGGAAATCCCCGGGCATGTAGAGCATTGTCGCGACCCCTCGCCAGCAAGGGAAAACACGACACAGGATTCTTCTTTCAGCAGTTTATTCAGGCCTTGATTCAAGTATCATCTTCTAGCGACCCCCCGCCGAGCGCCCAAGCATAGCCTAATAAAGCCTCCCGCATACCAATCCCAAGCTGCCACGTGGATCTTTCTCATAGGGTGGTAAGGGATTGCGCGCCAATTCTCCATAAAAGGAGTTGTTTATCACAGGCCACAGTGGAAGACAGCGCCATCTTCTAATGGCGGCCACGGTCTATAGGAACGGCTCACCACAGAGCATTGCTGATCTTTTGTAACTTCAAACTGAGGATCTGCAAAGAATGTCCTAGGGAACAGTCATTTCATTTGTATAAATAAGTATAAATAGATATTGAGCAGCCTTTTCTTCTAATAATGACTGCTATACATCTCTACTAACACTAGGCAAGAAGTGTGTGTGTGTGTGTGTGTGTGTTTTCGTGTATATGTACACGCTTGCATGTATTGTCTTAAAAATAGGTCATCTTCTCTAATGCCATATTGTCATGACTTTTGTCCTTGGGGTCATATCCTGGAACATGAGTCAGGCCTTCTTGCTGGAGTCCATTCTGCAAGACAGATTCAGCCCCTTGTTTCCAGGCACCGCCATTCTCAAGGTTATCCTGAGAAAAATGGAAAGACACATAGTAACAAAATAGTCAAGGTTACTCCAACCCACCTAGAGGGATATCACTCAGGTCTCCCTTTCAAATAATGACTCTATACAAAAATGGTCCAATAACTACCCTAGACTGCTTAACTGACAATCTTGATAATAATAACAACAAAACAACAATTTATTGAGCATTTACAATGTTTTGTGTTACCTGAGGATATTTATACATCTCTCATTTAATACAGCAATACTATGAGGTAGTTCCTTACAGCATGAGGACAGACAATCCTGTGATTCAGGTGGCAGTGGTCTGTTCCTACCTGTGAACAGCAAACCCTCTGGAGGCTAATGGAAATACCTGCATGTAATCTCTCCTGCAGACAACTCAATGTTTTGTGGCAAAGGTACCTAATAGTTACACCGTAAGTCTTCCCTCCCACTCTCAACGCAAATCTTGAGAATGTAAGCTTCTCATATTAACACAATTTATTACTTATATATGAGGAAATTCTCACTCAGGAAATAAGTCTTTAACTTGATTCAAGAACTTCCTTGAAATCCACTTACACAAACAATGCACTGTTCAACTACTGCCTTCTTAGAAAACTAAATTGCTGATCTGGATGAATCGTGCCCTCTCAGAACTCTACACTGTTGAATAGGGCCAACTTTTTATTTATTAAGCCATTGCTTACTTTCCAAGAAGACTGGCTTCAGTACCCCCACCCAGCTCAGTTCTCCTTTTTCCTATTTTGAACTTTCATATCATGGTTTTGTCCAGTTTTAATTACATCCCTGCATTTGCATTTAAATATCCTCCTAAAATCTCTTGATCCTAGAACCCATTCTGAGCCACAAAAAGATGGTGCTATTCCCAAATGCAATAGATATTAAATTTAGCTTTATGTCATAACACAATTATGGGGAAGATAGCAATTGACAGATGAAAAATAAATGATATGATATGGGTTAAGAGTCTCAAGTTCTATGAAGATAAAATGGGGATGAAAAGGTGAAAATAAGCTTGACCTAAAAAAGAAAACCAAAAACCAGAAAACCAAAAGATCACTCCTGCCATTAATCAAGTTGGGAGGGCAGACTGATGAGCCAGCTACAAACTGGCAGGAAATATTGCTTCCTTGAAATCCTGTTGCTGTCACATTTCATAATAACACTTTGTCTGACTATTGTGCTCTTACCAATACTGACCAGGGAAGTTTAGATTTATTTCCTGCTTCCCTTTAACACCTCTCAGAATCCTTCAGCAAAAGCCCAAAACATGCAAAAGATATGTCCACACCCCACTGTTGTAGAAGGTGGTATTATGTAGGTCCTTTGCAGCACCCCAGCATGCTGCATCAAGTCAATAAGTCCAACTTGATCAGACTGTAGGCTGTTCCTGATGGTTCTTGGCTGATGAGAACTTGGTAGTGCTCAGATAGTGCGTCTAGCTTGGTTTGGCCTAACTGCCCTTATGGAGTAAAGAGACTGGGAAATTAGGTGCCTCTTTCTGCATCTCTGCCTGTGAGTTCTCTCAATATTGTATATTTTTACCCCAAAGAACAAGAAGTGTCTCTCTGTCCACTTCATTCTGCACAATCACCTGCCCCCATGCTCAGTTCTCAGATAAAAAAGCTGAAATTTGGAGAAGTTAAATAACTCATCGAAGGAGAGACAGACATGGGACTGGATTAGTCCCAAAGCATGTGAATCTAAAACCCAGGCTTTTAGCCTTTACTGAGACTGAGGCTCCTTGTTCCCTTTCTATTATTTATTTTTCTTGCCTAGAATTCACCTTCACATGGGGTTAAAAGGAACTTTGAAAATAGGTCACTTGCAATGCTAGCAATTCAGATCCAAGGCACATTTACCTATTGTGTTCATATGCTTGAAAGGTAATCAGCTGAGGAAATTCTGAAGTTGAGACCTAGATTCTTTCAAGTTCTAACATCCACTGCTTTCCTTCACCAACCCCCACTTCCACCCCTTGCAACTGGCTCAAAATGGGCAAAACAGGAATCTCTTTGAGCTAATGTTTGGATTTAAAAGCTTAATCTGCTCACCTGCTCTGTCCCACAGTCATGCTGAACTCCACACCAGCACAGAGTTTTATATTTCTTAGACCAAAAGCAAAATAAATTGCAAACTGGTCTAATTAAGAGTGGGTCAACATCCTTGCCTCTTTGGTGACCTATTAACAAAAGGACAGGTGGATTAGATGGTTAAAGGCTTCCAGGATTTAAGCATAGTCAACTTGAGAAGTAATTTGCTTCTTAGTAAAAGGGTGAAAACAGGCCTGACAGGTTAATAAATAGAACTGGAAAGAATAAATAGAACTCCTGAAAGAAAGGGGTTGGAGTTGGTTTTAAGAAAACCATGAATTGTCAGCTCAGGCAAACTCATGTCTATAGAGTAAAACAGAGAAAACACATTTATTTAAAAATGTTTAGAATGGAAAAATCTACTAATAACCTTCACAGGCCAACACAAAGGGGAAATCAGGAATTATATTTATTCAAGAAAGTTCTTAGCTTTTATCCAAATCAGATATAATATCCAAGGTTATTTAAGACGTTATTTTTAAATTATAGTGTTTCCTTCTATCTGTCCTCCTGGATAAGCAATCCCATCGTTTCTCCCCAACCACTCTAGACACTCTTCATGTCTCTTTTTCCTTAAAACATATCTGTTCAGTGCTCCATTTCTTCAAATCCTGCTGTTGAACAAGGTTCACAATGATGATCAAAACAAGATTTAAAGGTTCATGATGTTCCTCCTCCCCAAACCTTTGCAAATTTGGTTTTATCAAGGCTATTTATGAATACTTAATCTCATTAAATGTTAGCCATGAGTCTGATAGCTAGATTAGTCTAAAGGACCTAGAAGAAATAGGGGAACTGGAGTTACACGTATCAAGCAGATTCCTCCTTGCACTAGACAGTGTGCCCATCCATGAGCATTCCCTCAAATTTCTTTCTAGGAACATACAAAATTTAGATTTTCAAAATTGCAAGTTGATTTTCAAATAAGATATTCCGTGGCATTATATGAGTCTGTCAAGAGATATTTGACCAAATAGAACTCTACTGCTATTGACAATAATATTTATCAATTAGTGCCTTCTACAAATTAGGCACATTATATTTAAATTACTCCTTATAGCTAGGCAAGTGTTGTTACTAAGGAATTTTCTTAAGACCTACTAAATGATGGAGCAAGAAATTAACCATACATGGTATTAAAGCCTATAACACCCAATTTACCCTAATGTGTATGGGCAGTAGGACTGGGCAAAACCTCAAACTACTCTCCAATCATGATTCTGAATCAGAAGAATTTAACTTAGAACCAAACTACTCCCAGGGTTTAAAAAGAAGATAGTTGTCTCTGAATAGACCACTAAACTATCAAACACTCCAATAAATAATATGGATTTGAGGTTTGCTAACAAATAAAAGGCTCTTTGCTTCATATAGATTTAGGACCTGTTTCCATCTAGAAAAAATAATGACTGGGAGATTGTAGAGAGTAAAGCAAAGTACAAGGCTATAGTTCTCATGAGTAGGAAGTTAAAAAAGAAAATGAAACTTAAATCTTGGGTTTATGGCTTTAATTATGAGTAAGACCTTGGGGACTGGGCATGACTGAACTTAGACTATTGGACTACGGACATATGCGTGTGAAAGGAGAAGGTCACAGGGGACAAGACCATTTCCTGTAGACAAATGAGGCTTTTGGGGTTTTTTTTTATGCAAAAAGAAGTTCTCAGATGAAGAAGAAATGTCATGAGTTGTATTGCAACTTTGGGAGAATTTGGAAACGTTCCCCTTTTCTCTGAACAGAGGCAACTATATGCCAAGGTGCTGAGTTGGGGATGGAATCCATTCCCCATTTGTCTCCTCTGCTGGCCACCCTGTGCAGAGCACAAGCCCCCTAACCCAATATAGAATCCCTGATTTCAAAACATAGGCTATACTGGAAGTCAGAAAAGCTAGGTCAGAAATGAAAAGGAGTTAATGGGAGAATATAAAATGTCAGAAACTTTGGGAAAAAAGACACTGTTCTTGAAGTTTCAACAGAATGAGAAAGGTATGTGTATAAGTGTGTATGAGAAAGAAAAAAGAAAAGAGGAGAAAAGGGAGAGAAGAGAGTGAGAAACTAAATTCAAGTAGGCCACATATAAAAATTAGGAATGAAAATAGCATAGAATTTGTCAGCAGCAAACTGAAAGATAAAAGATGAATGAGCTACATCATAGTGTCAATATAGAGCTACACAATTCCTATTGATTTAGAAAGTCCTACATTAATGTTCTCCAAAAAGATCAATGATCTAGGGCAAGAATCAACAAAATTTTTCTGTCAGAGGCTAAATAGTAAATATTTAAGATTTTGCTGGCCAGAGACTCTATGTTTAATGATTAACCCTATCTTAGCAGAGTGAAATCAGATAAGAGTAAAATGGTAGGCATGCTGTGTTTTTATAAAGTTTTACTTACAAAAACAGGTGGTAGGTTAGAGTTAGCCTTAGTTGAACAAAACTTGACATAAGAGATAAAAATAATGGGCTGACTGAAGGCTTTGTATCTAAGACTTCCAGACACATGGCAGGTGACATAAAATTGATAAGATTCAATTAAATATGAAGGGCTATACACTGAAAATCAGAGCGGCATAAAGCTGTTCTTGCTCTCCTGACAATGGGATATTCTGGCCATTTAACCAACGAAGAATGATTTTTGCTCTTGACTTAGGAAATGGTATTTTCATTTCACATTAAAAAATAGTGAAAAAAAGAAACTTTCAGCTTCCCAGTAGAATTTTGCCAGTCATAAAGTATATATACTTTAAAGTATATCTGGGTCCAGTATCACCTTCTAGTAGCTGATGCAGATTAGGATTAATAACTTAGAAAGCCTTAAGGTGCTACTCAATAGAAATAATTACATTTGTCAACAAGTATGAGGGATATGATTATCTAGGAGAAGTAGAATTGAAACCATCCCTTTTAAGACCAAGCAAGACTAAGTTTGAATATGGTACAAGAGAACAGACTCAGAGAGCCCCGCCTTATCTACTAAATTTATCCCACAAAATTTAAACAGTTTTAGTCTTTTTAAAAAACATTCAGTGGGCATGATGGAAGGTTTCTGAAAATCCCTTAGTGACCAGACCTCAGGGTCCAAATGAGCACCAGAACCTCATTTGAAAAGATAGGCACCAAGAAGTAGAAACATGTGGCCACCAGGACCAATATTTTTTTCAAAGATTTAGTGGCATTAGACCCTATTAAAGTGCTGCCTCTTGGTCTTAAGGATATTTCCTTAAGATTCCAGACATTTGGAAATAAAGAAAAGATAGGGATTGTATCAGGATGATTGTTCATGCTCAAAATAACAAAAATATTTTCAATCCAAATGTAAAACAAACCTTGATGTATCAGCACAGGAATATGTCGATTCTTATGTTCATTTGGAAAATACATAGACTAGCCAGTCAAAGGACTTGAGTACACATATTCTGCTTTGCAATCAGGAAGCTGAAGGTTTAGCTGTCCTCTTAATTGGAGAGTGACCAACTTATTAACAGAGCTAGGTATATCCTACTGGCAGCACGAAAGCTGCAACTGTAGTCAGGATACTAATGCAACATCTAAACAAAATAAACAAACTTGCATGTGAAATCATTTTTCATGAAGAAATTTGGAGAATTTTCACATGAAAGCCTAGGGCCACAATATTTATGCTCTGTTCTTTATCATACCCAAGATATCCTCAAATTTAAATGAATGGCTAAAGGGGTCATACTCAGAATGATAAGGCATTGCAACTTGCATGTAGCATTTCCAGTCCAAAATCAGCAGGAAGGCTACCATGGAGATTTTGTGTTGAGTAGAAATATTGAGTGCTGATTGCTTGTAAGTATATAATGGTAGCATAAAAGGAGAATACCTTAATAATTTATTTAGTTAAAATGCATAGGACAGTCGAACAAGAATGTGGTAGGCCCATTCCACCCATTTCTAACCAATTTATAACCTATTACATTGTGAACTTTGGCATTAAAAGGATATTGAGTCATCAGAGAAACTATGGTCCAAAGTACAATGGTAAATCCTAGAACCAAAAATGGCTTAGGGTGAAGCTGATCACTGACCCTAGCAAAGCAGCTTCCAAAAGGCAACAGTAGACTCTGCCCTTCTTATCTAACAGATCAGCCAAGGTTTATTCCATGAGATAGTAAGGTGGTAATGGGAAAAAAATAGTCTCTTATTAAGAGGAGGGGAAAAGAAACACTCTTGCTATTTAGATTTAATGATTGTTCTGTTATAGAAGATTTTTCACATTCATGTCTCTGGGGGAGCATATTTCAAAGTGCCTTTTCTATTCAATACATATATCATACATATTAATAATCAGATCCATAATAATCAGGGGAATGTTCTTATGTGTTACTTGGGGAGAGTAGACATATGTCTCTGGAAAAAGCCTTTTGTGGTAGACCTGAAATCAAACTAGTAAGATAGCCACATAGTCCACAAATGCAAGAAGGAGCTCTATCTTCTTTAGAATCAAAAAAAGAAATCCAAGTAACCAACCTGTTATGAAGCTGATGATTACTCCAGCAATAATGCATCCTAAGCAGCCCACAGCACTGTAGTAAAGGTAGGAGAGTGAGTACCAGGTATCAGCAATGGTGGGCCTGTGGGTAACAATAGCATATGTCACCAGTTTCAATTGTTCTGATGTTGTCATTCACAATGATCTGAAGGACCGCTCAGGCTCCTTTTAGGGCCTGGCATTGTTTAACACCCAAAAGCTTAACATTTTAATTAGACACTACCTGTGCTTCATATTCCACCAGATTCAAATCATCCCTGTATTACAAATATTGCAATGTGTAGACTGAATTACGAGTATTTCATTGAGGACTGTGTCTTCCATTCTTTTTGTATTATTTATCTTTCAGGCATGTATTAAGCTCAGATTTAATGCCAGGAATTTTGACAGCCATTGTCTACATATATGAACTAACAGAAAATCACAAAATGGACTTGGAAATGCATGGTGGAACAAGAACAAAGGATTGTGACAGGATGTGTAAGACTGTACTTCAGTTCATTTTAAAGAATGTTTACTAATCAGAAAAGAGAGTAATCAAGAACACAATTTCATATTCTAAAAAAGGAGGATAATAAACATAGGCAAGAGGAAAGAAATAGTATGGCAGATTGAGACATATAAAGTTTGATATTGTTCAACCATAAGACTTATGGAAAGGAAGGACTCTAACTGAATCTCAGAGGAAAAACAGAAGCATGATAAGATAAAGGGGTGTCCATATGCTGTTTAGCAAAGACCACCTGCTCAGTGTTCCATACTGAGCTCTACCTACTTCACCCTACAGGAAGAACCAGAGCAGTTCTCCACTTACTCAATAGTATAAAGAGCTAATATGCTAGATAAAGAGAGTTCATTGCATGTCTTTTGCAGAAAAGGAGGCAGAGATGACTGTTGAACTCCTGGGAAATTTGATTGGTAGTGATTCAAATGGAGTCTAGATGCAGATTTCCCATAGAAGCAACTAGGATCTATTTCCTTTCTCGGTGAAGTAATTGATTTATTACAATGCCACCATATCCTATGAAACAATGAACCAAAGGCAGCTTAATTTTACATCTTAGGAAAAACTATCCATTTACAGTTGGCAGGCATTGGAAAATGCAGCACATAGCTGGTTGCTTACATGCACTCAGCTGGTAGCTTCAAATGAATACTACTGCTTTAAAAAAAAACTTAATAAATGTCAGAAGACCCATCTTCAACTTTTGAATGTGCCCTCTTACTTAATATTATGTGGAAACAGAAATGGAACTATGCTAGAAATTTCTTTTTCTAAGCTGGCTAACCCTGCTACACCTAAGGACATCTTCCCTGTATTCAGAGTCACCATCGCTGGATGGCATCGCAAGTAATAAGACATCCTTACTGCTTACAAAAATAAGCTATGAGGTGAAGATAAAGATGAACCCAGATTTCAGTATGGAAAGAGTGGAATAAATTAAAATTATTTGTTGTTTCCTCCTTGCGCTTTTCCCTTATAAAAAGGAGCTGATACCCAGGCACAGTGGTGCACCCCTGTAATACCAGTGACTGAGGCAGAAGGATCTCAAGTTCAAAGTCAGCCTCAGAAAAAGCAAGGAGCTAAGCAACTTAGTGAGACCCTGCCTCTAAATCAAATACAAAATATGGCTGAGGATGTTGCTCGGTCAAGAACCCCTGAGTTCAATCCCTGGTACCGCACCCCCCCCCCAAAAAAAAAGAATGAAATATACTATATGACCTCAAGGAATTTATTACATAGAGGAAAAAATAGAACAGAAAAAAAAGGTAAAAGGGGGGAAAGAAGTAGAAGGACAGAAGAGAAAGCAATACAAGAGGAAACAATAATAAGGTATAACTGGTGGCACTGGGAGGATTCAGACAATGCCTAGAATGCCTTGAGAGGTTGTTTTAAGCATAGCCTTCAAGATGCCAGGGTTGTAGAAAAGTTTTAAGAATGGAAGGATAATTTGTTTAGAAAAGGTCTTTTCAAATTTTGACTATCTTTGAAATCTAAATATATATATATGTGTGTGTGTGTGTGTGTGTATAAACATTTAATTTATTTAATATACATTATGTATATTTATTTATGGGAATATGGGGACACTAATCTGCATCTTGAAAGAGGAGTAGATTCTAAGTAGAAATAAATGTTAAAAGGAATTCCTTTGAAATGAATACCTTGATTAAAAGTAGAAAAGAGTGGAGTATATATAAAGTAAAGAGGAGGATCTAGAATAGAAGGAGAAGGGTGGGAAATAACAGGACCCACAGGAAATTTCTACATTTCCTGAAAGGCATTTCATTCCACGATAAAAAATAAAAATAAAAAAATACTGTCCTGGGACTGGGGATGTGGCTCAAGCGGTAGCATGCTCGCCTGGCATGCGTGTGACCCGGGTTCAATCCTCAGCACCAAGTACAAACAAAGATGTTGTGTCCGCCGAAAACTCAAAAAATAAATATTAAAATTCTCTCTCTCTCTCTCTCTCTCTCTCTCTCTCTCTCTCTCTCTCTCTCTTTAAAAAAATACTGTCCTTTTTTCTGTAGACAGAAGATTTAAGTTACCTTGGTGTGGCAGTCATGAATCAGAAAATTGCTTCAGGAGAATACATCTAGTGAACATTTTGGATAGAGTGGATTAGAAGAGAAGATAGAGAAAGGTGAGCAACCAAAAGGACAAATACAATAACTTCACTGTCCTAATTTTTTTTAAATGCTGAGAGTACCCTCAGGACTGACAAGGGAAATGGAAAGGAAAAGATATGCCCGGAACAGAGATATCCATAAACATAATTTGCAAAATTATTTGACAGTTTTTAGAAAATTAAGCCCAGTGAAAACAAGCCAAAAAGGTAAGCATTGGTGAGAATCAGAAAAGAGTCATTCAAATCTGAGGATCACAAATTTTATATTCCTGGACTTGCCCCTATATTCAGTTAGAATGTTAGAATGTACATTATTACACCAAGATGCAGTGGTGTATGTATGTATGTATATATATATATATATATATATATATATATATATATATATATATATACACACACACACACACACACATACACACACACATGTACATATACACACATATACACTACATATATATATTTGTGTGTGTGTGTGTATATTCTAATTTTATCCTCTCAAAACCCAGTAAAATAAATGCTAAGAACCTCATTTTAAATCAAGGGATTCTAGAATGCAAGAAGTGATCAATTCCTAATTTGTTCAATGATACAAGTAGATTAATGATAAAAGCAAAATCCAGATCTAGGTTATTTCTGATTTGAGAGTCCATGGTATTCTCCCTACATCATAGTTATCTTCTGTATTTTGGTATCTTTGGATCTCTTAACCCATCCATAAATAGAAATGAAAATTCTTTGTTAGCACATGTGTTCACATAGCTTGATTTAGAAGACATAGGTTCCCAACCTAGTATTTTCATAATCATTTTCCTCACTGTTCACAGTCTCTTCTACTCATAATCTTTATACTTTTAAGGGAACTATGATCCTCATATCCACCCATCTATTTTTAAACCTCTACTAATCTTTTTCTGTTTTGCACTCATATCTCCAATTTATCGCTCTCCCAGTTCACTGTTGTATACCTAAGTACAGAGAAACAGCTATCTGAAGAAAGCAACAGTCCTACATAATGCTCTTCAGTGCTGGGTTCTGGAATTCTCTTAGGAGAACAAAATGCATCTCATCAGCCTTAACCCTGAGGAATGCACTTTTTTCTAAACTGGCGTCCTGATCTCTGAGATGCAATGTCTGACATATTTAAAGGCGACATACCTGTTAGATAGCTCTGGAGGTGCTGCTGTCGTCACATTTGATTGAAAACACTGCTCTGTTGATAGTGGCAAAGGCCATGTCTTAGAATCTGGTGCAGGGTAAATGAAGGCCCCAATGGCCACCCAAAATGATAAAGTGATTCCAGTAATGAGGCCTCCTAGTGCACCCTTGATGAAGAAAGGAAAGTCAATATGAAATTGGACAAAACGGTTTGTTGAAAGAATCATGAGATGAGAAGTACTGCACCAAAGAGGTTCTGGCTGTCCACCTTAAATCTTGGTCACATGTGCTGGAAAACAGCCAAAACTATCTTCCTGTCAACTCTCCCAATACAGTGTCATTTAGAATTTTACAGAGATCATTATATTTAGATTTCTAATATGAGTTATTTCTCTACCTCTGGTTTCTTTCTCATTATTTAAAAAGATGTTAGAACCTTAATTGCTTGCCAAAAAATAAGTTTCAGAAGTTAAGAAAAACTTCACAGAATGGAGACAAAGCAGTCATGTTTCATCAACATCTATTTACACAAAAATTCTTACTCATGTCTGTCATCCCAAGTGATTCTGGCAGAGTCCACTGACTTCCAACATTTGGAATTTTTTGTTTGTTTGTTTGTTTGAGTCTAAATACTAGCAAGTAAGGGTATTCACTCATACTACCAATTATAAGGCAAAAGGTGACACAAATTTAAATATTTGCTTTCCTCTATCTATAATAAGGTGGTTTTCCTGACTAAATAAAAAGGACTATTTACTCTTACTATTGTTATCTATTTGCTAATATAGATAATAAGTTAAATAGACAATGCATTAAGATCTTACACAGCAACTGCAGATATTTTTGTGACTAGGCAATCGTCTTTCTTCACATTATCTCCCAAGGACATAAATATCCTTGCAAACCTCAATATCATAAAAATGATTAAGATAGAGTTTTCCTAATACAACTGCAGGAGAAGTGTGAAAATGCCCTGAAATTTATCCATCCATCTATCCATCTATCCATCCATCCATCCACCCATCCACTTTCTTTACCCAACTCCCCATGATTTATCTAAAAGAGTTCAATAAGGGCCAGGTGGACACAGATGCCAAATCAGTTGACTTGGTATTTATGGAATACTCTAGGGCATGCACATAAATAAACAAAGAATCAAGTTATCTGGAGTTTAAAGACTTTCTAAAACTATATGCATGCGTGGTAAATTTATGAGTAACAATAAGTAAATGGCAATTTTGCTAGATTAAGAAAATCATGGTATTTCAAATATTTTTATAATATTACTTTTCAAATAAATATTAATTTTGATTTATACTCCCTGCATAGTCATTTGAGCAACATTTTCTTGAATTCGTACTTCTAGCTTACCAGCCCAGCCAAATGAAGATAGCACAGCTATCATGATATCCCAGTCATGTCCCATCTCCTCCATACAGATTAGTTAATCAAGTTAATAAAGCTAGTTATAATTTTAGATAACTACAGACAAAATGAAATTTACATGTATTTTCACTTGAATTTCATTTCAAACTTCTGTTCTAACTAAACTGTTTCTGAATCCAGTGTCTTGTTTTAAGTTCATTTTGTTGTCCCTTAATTGAGAGAAAACTTAATTTAAACCTTAAAAAGTTAGCTTTGATACCATGACATATGGTAATTCATGACCACCTCTTCCCTTCTTTGTTTTCTGTTTCTGAAATGGCTTTGCTGAAGTCAGATATGGGAGTATTTTGATTCTGTTTGATTCTACTATGAATTATTTTCCTAGCAAAGATAAATAGATTTTCCAACCAGAGGTTAGAGGAAAAAGAGGTGAGGAAATATATCTGGGGTTTTATCTGAGCTGGGAATTACAAAGAGGGATGTAAGATGCTTACCTTCCAGTTCACAAAAGGGAACACAAGTCCCAAAGAGAATAAACCCAGCATTGGTCCCCCACACATGCCATGGATGCTGAGGGCAGCCTGTGGAATGAAGGAGATCAGATGAGTCTCACAACTCTACTATATCTGTGTTCTACCAGAACCATCCTTCTCTGGGACTTGATATAATTTGGTTCAAGTCCAGACTGTGCCATTTATTAATTATGTGCTTTCCTTAGGTCAATTCTGGATCCAGTGATAAGCATTGTATAAAAAAAAAGAAACTGAAAAAAAATAAATAAATAAAACGGAAAGTTACATACATATGAACCCACACACATGCTTGTATATATGTGTGAGTATATGTGCACATATGTATGGTTGTAAAGTGAAAACAGGTGATTTGGATTTGCTTGAAGAAGGTTTCACTTGAATTGGAACTTATACATTTGTTTATATTTTTATATTATCAAAAGTTATTTGTTTTTTTCTTTTTTTGACTAGAGATATAGGTAGTGCTTGCCTAACATGCACAAGGGCCTTGGGTCAGTTACGAGCATCCTAAAAAATTGTTTTTGAAAAATAATATACTGTATTATATTGTTATAAGTAACAACAATTCCCTTCATTATGTAAAACTATAATGCACCAATAAAAATGTGGAAAAATAAAAATAATGTATTAAATAAATATATCTACTACATTTTTTATATCTTAGTTGATAAACTATTTAGCTTAGTTTGAACAATTCTTTCTTTCTTTCTTTCTTTTTTGTCTGTTACCCAACCACTACCATCCCACCCATTACATCTCTAGGATATTGAAGCATTAAGTTCAGACATGTGGAGAGGACATTATACACTCCACATTCCATTTTTTGTCTCTCATGATTATGCTCCATCTAGTTTGGAAATTGAGAGAGTTTGAGAAGTGTATTTCCACATCTTTCAACTTCTAAGTTATAGACTCCATTGAATTGGCCAGGGACTTTCTTTAAACTAATTTTCTGTAAACATAAAGCTTTTTTCCATGGTCTTCCAAGAGTTAGAAAATGTATGTGCATTTATGTGCAAGTGAATGAGCCTATGCCAATGAAGAAACACATAAATATACACTTGTGTGCATGTACTTCATTGACCAACTACTGTCAATGAAGCCCCTTCCAGTTCCTCAAAGCACTTACAGAGGACAGATCTTATCTAAGATCTTATCCTATTTTTCAGGGGCCAACTATATGCAAGACAGAACTGCTTGTGCACCCTGGACAAATTTAATCCTCACAGTCACTCATCTTAATAGGTAACACTAACTAAATTTTGTATCTGAGAAAATTGGTGCTGAGAGAAAATATCAAAGTTCACTTTTTATTTAGCAAGTGGCAGAGGTAAAGATATAAATTCAAATTGTTATGGCTCCAAATTCTACATTTTCTGTCTAAAAGTAGTTTTAAAAAAAGAATGTCAAGAAAAAAAGTGGTCAAGCATAGACCACTATGTCCTAATTCTTCTGTTTAAAGGAAAAGCAATCTTTTGAAAGAATCCACCATTTATAGTTAGAATATTTGAATTTTAATTATTGCCCTGACCCACATCACTAGGATTTGTTGAACTTTCTGTTACTAACTCACATTCATTCAACTGCAGTTTTCTTCTTTCTCTATAAAACTATGCAGGGGCAACAGACCTTCTTCCAGTCCTCTTCAGTGTTCATATCCAGAACACTCTGTCTTTGTCCAGAAAGATGAGCTGCTATGCATTGTTAGTATTGCTTTCCCAGGTTACTTTTTAGCAAAGTCAGTGCTTCAGATATGTCTTTGACATGATGGAGCAGGTAAGATTAAAGGCTTCCTTTTCCCCATTATTCTCAATTGAATATTCTTGATATTTCCTCTATTGATCAACAGCACTAATTCATAGTTGCTGTAGTTGCTAAATTTGGAAGCTAATTTACTGGCTATTATATAGAAGATCAATGAAATAGTAAATACATTTCTCTTCCTTCATGAAATAAAAATCAACAAGCTCTTACAAAGTCACTAGCCAGATGCCTCAGGGGAAAAAAAAATATCCAAGAGTTTCTGGATTTAAGTGTGTGTGTGTGTGTGTGTGTGTGTGTGTGTGTGTGTGTGTTGAAATATAATATACATATGTATTTCTGTGTTGGACAAAGCAAATTACTTTTAACTTTTATCTTTCTTTTTGTTATTAAACATGTTTAATTGGAGGAAGAGTTAAAGCTCATCAAACTCAGTTTTCTCCTTAATGCTCAAAATCCAATCTGAGCTATTCCAAGTTAACAGCAATGTCTACAGGAATATGCTCTGTGTTCAGGGTTGACTGAGGAGCTTATGCATAATTAACCTTTCCATGCTTTATTCCTCATGTGTCAAGGGCACATGATAATATCTGCTTCCTAGTGTTTTTTTCTGTATTTTTTTTATTGTTTTAGTGAGTATTCAATGTCGAATCCAAGAGAAAGTTCAGAATAATGTCTGAGCACCAGGGAGCACATGATAAGGGGCCCAGAATGTGCACTATGACTCTCACAATCTTCATTGCTGCTATTACCTACCCTGTTAGTGATCTCTAAATTTTTGAGGGATATCCTTTGTTGTTGTAATGTTTTGAGATCTACAAAGTACTTTCTTCGGATGAGATTAAAAATGTATCCTCATGTCACTTCAGCCCTTAGCTGACAGTCCTTAGGACAGGTGTGTGTTGGTTAGAATGACCTTTCTAGAAGGAAGGCTGCAATTCCCTTGCTAAAGGGAGATTTTTGTTGCCATTATCTGATCTCTCTCCCCTCTCCCACCTTATTATGGTTCTGTGGTTACACATTTCAAGTGAAACAGGTTTCCTTACTGTTGGATTTCCCAGAGTCTTCAATGTATTAATGTGTGTTGTGGATCTGAGAGAGCAATGCAGTGTGCACCATGTTCCAGTCTTTGACTATGAAAATCTTCTTCCTTGGAACATGTCACACATTTCACAGGATAACATTCTCCAGGACATACTTTGTAACATTTCAAACTAAAGTCTTACACCAGCATTGTTACACAAGCAAATAAAATCTCTGAAATAAACCAAATTAAAAAATGACAACAAAAACAGCCACACATTGAACCGGCCTGCCTTTGTTTAAGTGGTCTGTCATTCCTGCCCCACCTTCAAGAACATCTCATACGTGTGGGGTGGTTTTGCAAACATGAAATTAAAACTGGCTCTATACTTCACACTGAGAGATTTGGGTTCCTGTCTTCTTCTACATGCAACATCAGAATATGAATAATGTTTCATTAAATCAAATACAGCAAAACTGTTTGGAAAATTAAATAGATCAACTTCATATATTTGTATTTCTTGTTTTGAGAAGTGTCTGACCTAACTTTCCTATGCACATATATAAATATATTTCATTGAATATCAACATCAAGTATATTCAAAAGACACTGAGATTAACTTATATCTAAATATATTGATATATATATATATATCAGAAAGATCAGTAGAGGGAAGAGAACAGAGGGAGGGAGGAGGAGAGGGAAAAGGGAAGTACTGAGGACTGAACTAGGACAAATTATGTTCCATGCTTTTATAAGTATGCCAAAATGAATTGTATTATCATGTATAACTAGAAAGAACCAATTAAAACATAGAAAAATTTCAGTTGCTTTTATGTGTCCAACAAAGTCAGATGTGTTCACAAAAATGAATGGACCATCTTGGAGACAAATACATCTCCAAGGAAGTGGAATATCAGGGCTTCATTTCTTACCTGCCAGGATCTCCTTTGAACTGTGTGGCACACATTTCAATCAGGAAAGTGAGCCCAGCTCTCATCTAAAGTAGGACAGGCAGGTGAGTGCATCCCTCAATGCACTCCCTACTCAAAGTGTTATTTTTCCCCAGTACTTGGGAAAGTCCTGGCCTTCTCTGGAGCCCCCTCATTTACCAATGCAAATATTTTTGGGAGGAAACAATTTAGAGATTCAAATTATCACCAAATTAAACAGGTTGACACCTCTTTAAGAATAAATACCAAATGAAAACAACAAGCCTCAAGGCTTTGGAAGTAGATTAGAAATAGAGATTCCATGAATTGTGAAAATAAACCTTTAAAAAATGCACATGAGGTCACTAAAAACAAACTTCACCTAGTTGCCAGTGTTTCTTGTGGATAGGGAAATATCAGTATACTTCAAGCTGTGTAAAAGGATTATAATCAAGCATCTGTGATAAATAGTAAGTTCACAACTTAACAGAAAGGATACTAAATTTTGGTTCCACAAATTATCTTCTTTAAACAGTAAGTAATCAAGTCACTTAAATATCTCAGATTTATTCTCTGAATATTAAAATGGAAATAACTGAAGCTATGTAAGTAGTCCTTTGAAAGAGAAAGTAGGATGAACTCTTTTGTGAACTAGAAGGTGTGTGTTTGTGTGTGTATATATATATAATATGGATTCTATTTTATTAATATCCACTCAATCTTACCATTGCTGTTCACTATCCAGTGGTTTCTATTCATTTACTCTTACTCATTTCTTCAATTAGGCAGCATTTATTGAAAACCCATATCATAGCTAGGCGCAGTGGAACAGACTTGTAATTCTAGTGACTTAGGAACCAACACAGAGGATTGCAATTTCAAAGCTAGCCTCAGCCACTTAGCAAGGCCCTAAGCAACTTAGTGAGACCCTGTCTCAAAATAAATTTAAAAAATTTAAAAAGGGATGGGGATGTAACTAAAACCCCTTGGGTTCAATCAATCCCAGGTAGCTGTGAGAACTTAAGCAGGATATTTTCACTCTTTTCTACAATCATCTACAAAATGAAGGTGTTGCAATAGATTATTCTTGTGCTTCCTTGTAATGCTAATGTTTTATGGAACTGGGAGTTGAATATATGAGCAACAGTTTGATTTTGATAATAATACTTAGTTGTATCCTAATTTCACCACTCTTTAATTGTGTGAGTTTGGGACAATTCTTTGTTTCTTCATCAGGAAAATGAATATATTAATTACGTAACCCCTTAAGAAAGTTATAAACATTAAATTAGGTAATACATAAAGGGCTATACCTAGTTCATAATAGGTATTATATATGTTAATTGGAGTTTTCACTATTATGGTTATTATTGATAGAATTTTTAAATTAATTTTAACACAGTGAACTTTGTCTCTATCCATTCTTGTTGTAAAAGTTTCTGCTTCTGAAGATACTTTTGGTTGAAATATTGCATGGATGTTTAATTGGGACCTGATATGTTTGAATATCAGTAGTTGGAGACTAGAGAAATAGTTAAAACATTAGAAAAATGAGTGAGGACAAAGTTGCTATGAAGTTAAATGTGTCTTTTCCCTTGTTAGTTACCTGTACAACGCCCCCCAGGAGAGATGCGGCCACAGCCATGGAGGTGCACAGGATGCCAAATAAGAGACCTGGAAGAAGGGAAGATATGACCATCATTTCCTTCCTTGAGTCCCCAACCAGCACTGCCTAATACCAGCCCTCCTCCAGGGGATTGCAGTGAGGGCTGTCCACATGTGGACATCACAAGCCCCACCGAGGGAACTAAGGTGACCCTTCATCTGAGCATTTGCTTTCTCAGGTCAGGTGGAAGAAACCTGAGTCAAGCATCAAATAATTTCTAGGATTTCAGAAAAAAAAAATGTCTTACAGAAACAGCATAAAAATGTGGAAAGGGCCCAAACAAATCCAGACTAAATTTGATGGAAACTAATACCTGGTGAACCACTCACCAGAAGTGTTCTAAAAAAAGAAGCACTAGCCCTCTTTGGATTTCAGATGGCTAAGTAATATGCATTGCACCTCACAGTTTTTCTAGTCAGGAAAGCTTTCTTGTTTTTTGTTTGTTTGTTTTTGTTTGGTTTTTTCCTCTGGTGCTATATGCACACCGTCCACAGGACCCTCTGTATATTACACAATCACGTATTTGTCTACGCATCAACATGGGCAGCTTCAGAGTACTGTGCTCCTCTGGTGTCACAGCACTCACTAAATGTGTCAGCATGTACTTTTCAGTCATTTTTTAGGATGTTATCTTCTTTTAAACTATTAAAAAAGCATTGTTTACTGTATATCTTTCTTTAAAAATTATCTTTAAAATATGCTGAGTTTCCACAATTGCTTGAAAACTAAATAAGAAAAGGAGGGATAGACAAATAGCCAGAGAGAGACAGAGAGATAAATGCACAGGAAACCACTTTGTTCACTCTGTTTGAATGTTCTCTCTCTGCAAAATACTAAGTCCAGTTCCCAGTGTTACTATTAATTTAATTTCATTGAATTCTGAGCATAATTTGGATACTTTAATTCATGCCAGTATTAAAAGTCAAAACTTGATACGTACCCCCCAAAAGTTCACATTCTAAGAATGGACTATAAATTAATTAACTAATTAATCCTATAATTTACCTCAATTTAGTTTATTCAGAGTAGTGTCTGGTATTCCACAAGTACTATGTGTTTTCCATTATTATGATTTTACTTCAGATTTGGTATTTACTAATTTATCAGTTAAGTATTATGAGAATCTCACTCTTGAAATTGGCAAACAAATTTTGATGCTATATCCTCTAACTTCTCAATAAGACACAGAAAAATAAGGAAATTCACAAAAACAACACAAACCACGGTTGATAAATAAGCCCTTGTCAAAATTCCAAAATGGCCCTGCTATCTTTAAACCTGATGGATTAGACTGAAGAAAACAATGTTTGCGCTGACTCAGTATTGTTTCATGAAAAAGAAGAGCTACATCTGCCTGAAGAAAAGAGCCAATGATATTTTCTCTCTCTCCTACTGAATGCCCTTCTCCTGGACTAACAGCCATCTGTTCAAATGAAATTCTAGGCAATCATCCTTCAAATTCAAGGGTTCTCCTTTTTTTGTGGTGATAGGGAGTCCATTCAGCTTCCTTTCCCATCAAATCTTTAAACTACCACCAACTGCATTCAATGTCAACATGCACAAGCAGGAAGCTTAGGGAAAATTTGTGCAAGTTCCATGGATACCTGAAAGCATGTCACCATACAAAGCAGTGAAAGTGAGGAGAACAAAGCTTTAGAGTTGCAGGAAGTTCTGTCGATTTTCCCAGATCTGCTAGTCATCAGCTAAGATGACTAGAAAACAAAACACAGGCATAGAAGGCACCTCCACCTCAACCCAACATAGCCATGAATATCTGCTAGAAATTGAGTCTTGAACTTGGAACAATGCCCATCCACTTGTGATTAGTACTAACTCAGATAGGAAGTAAAATCAAGACAATTTAACTTCCCAGTTAGCATGGTCAGTATCCATCTCTCTTTCTTCGAACATAAGTTAAAAGTAAAGGGAAAGATGGAATCCATGATAAAACAAGGCCAAAGAACAGAATGAATATATTAATATGAATGTCAAATTATGATTTTAATTCAGATTTGGTATTTACTAATTTTATCAGGTAATCATTATCAGAATCTTACTCTTGAAATTGGATAACTCTCAAATAAAGGAAAGGTCCACTAATAATAATCCTCCTGATGAAACAGAAAAAAAGAAAGCATCTAAAAACTGGCACTCTCAATATTATACAAGAAAACAGAGTCTTAATGAATCAAAGATGTGTAGGTCAAGAGAAAACAAATGAGGTTAAAAGAAAACTAGTTCATAACCCACTTGAATCAAAGTGTGAAATATGATATATCAAGAAATATGTAATGTTTTGAACAACCAACAATAAAAAATTTTAAAAAAAAAGAAAACTAGCAATATAGGGTACAACACCAATAACTCTAGATGAAGATGGATACAGGTGGGTTGAGGCAGGACTACAAAAATAAAATAAAATAAAATAAAAATCATCATATTTGACCAAGAAATTCCACTTCTACCTATTTGTAAAAAAGCAATGAATATATGTTCACAAAAGGATTTATGCAAGATTAGTGACAACACAATAAAGTCAAACTGAAATAGCCTACATCAATCAGTAGACATAAGGTCCTCCATATCTGTGATGTCACATTGCCAGATTCAACCAACTGTGATTGAAAATGTTTTAAAAAAATGTGTCTGTAATAAACATGTCCAGACTTTTATTATTGGCATTATTCCCTAAATAGTATAGTCTAATAACTATTTACATCCCTATTTACATTGTATTAGGTAATATAAGTAATCTAAAGATAATTTAAAGTATATGAAAAGAGGTAAACAGGTTACATGAAAATGTAACACCTTTTTAAGGAAATTGAGGAAATAAGAAAATTGAGTATCATCAGATTCTGATATGCATGGAATGTTCTAGATGCCAGCCCTGTGAATGGCTATGGATGTTAAAAAACAAGCTAATTAACTATTGAAAAAATACAGAGCCTGTGTTATATTCCTACATGACATATTTAACAATTAAAAAAAATGAATTTCTGATACACAAAAAAACACGTGTAATATAAATCTCAAAAATATGCTATGAAAGAAGTCTTACAGAGAAATAATGAGTACTGTGAGATTTCAGACCTCCTAGAAGAGGCAATATTAATCTTTACAAGAAAAATAATATTAATACTTGCCTCTAGAAAAAAGTAGAAGTACAGAGTGACTATAAAGGGCATGGGAGTGATGGTAAGTATTTATATATTCATAAAAAGTTATATAAGTATATGGATTTATCAAAATTCAGAAAAATATTTTTAACATTAGTCCATTTCATTATAAATAAATTTCTTTACAATAAAAAAATACTTGAACTACATGCTCAATTCTAGTTAAAAATATACATGCTAAGATTATTATGAAAAATGTGTTGATCTCTGTAATTTACTTTTAAAACTATAAAAATATGATGGATTAATGAATAGACAGAGAGCTAAATAGAAGGTAAAAAAGTAAGTTTAGAATGATGCTAATGAGAGATCTAACTGATGTGTATATCATCCATAATATATATGTGAACCGTAATGTTTTTAAACTTGGCTGTATAATTTTATTTTTATAATAAATGGTAAAGAACAGAACAATATAATTAAAATCTCATCATTGTTACTAGATTTAGGTTTTGGAAAGTTCAAAACAACATTGAGAAAAACTTGAGTTTCTCAAGTATATAGAGGAAAGGGACAAGTTAGGAATAAAAGTCAAAAAAGTGGATTATATAGCAAACAAATAACCTAAATTTAAAAAGTATGGCATCACAACTAGTCTTGGTGGCATGCACCTACAACATCTATAAAATGGACACTGAGACAAGAGGACCTTGAGCCCAAGATTGGCCAGGGCAACATACTAGGATCCCACCTCAGAAGAAAACAAAAAGTGGAGGGTATAATAGAAAATGAATATTTGTAAATAATAACCACATTTGCTATTAAAAGCAATTTAAATTTTGGGAATTAACAAGAGTTGAGTAAACGAACAGATAAGTACTTTCAAAAACAAAAACAAACAAACAAACAAAACTTCCACTTCTACATTGACAATGAATGGTTTTGGAGATATTATGGGGAAAGCACCTTATTCATAATCTCAGGGAAAGGAAGAAAAAAAGGATGAGGAAGAAGAGGAAGAGTAGGAGAGAGGGGAGAGAAAGAAGCAAAGAGTTGAAGGAGAAAACATGAGTATAATCAATATGTGAGTTAGAAAATAGATGATTAAATTGAAAAATAAAGTGGATTTCTGCTTGAAAAGCTTAGTCCTTCCCTAGTGCATTTTTATTTCTGATTCAATGCCATGGCACAGGGGTGGGCAGTTATAGCTGTTACAAGCAAAGAATAATTTTAAAGTCAATCTAAAGGAATAAAAGACATGCATAGCCAAAACAATTGTTATATAAAAAGAAACAACAGAAAAAAAATTAATTTTTCAACTAAAAGTGATAACATTTTTATACCAGATATTTTTGATAAGACTCCAAAGCTATGAATGAAAGTAGATATAATTTGTCCTACAATTGAGAAACAATTTAAGACAATTAATTATGTAATATAAAACATGTTTATAAATGAAAGAACTTCATATTATTCATTACTATAAAATAACTTCATATTATGCATTACTATTAATAAAAATATAAGCTGGGCGCGGTGGTACACACCTGTAATTCCAGCAACTTAGGAGGCTGAGACAGGAGAATCACGAGTCAAAGCCAGCCTCAGCAACAGCAAGGTGCTAAGAAACTCAGTGAGACCCTGTCTCTAAATCAAATATATAAAAGGGCTGGGAAATTATAAATTGACTATATATATATATATATATATATATATATATATATATATATATATAT